GAGTGCTATCTTACTATTCTCCATCTCGTCGTCCTCAATACACATATGTCTCCGCTAACATACTCCATCGCTGTCCATACACTCACATCCAATTAGGCGCGACACGCTTAACACTCTTTACTGCTGTCTGCGGCGCGACACCTCACTTACAGTCCCGGCAATATCGTGAATGTCGCAACACCACTAGTGATGTCGATGGTTCGGGGGGTGGTTCTGCGGGCGTTGTGTATGTGTGTGTGTGTGTGTGTGTGTGTGTGTGTGTGTGTGTGTGTGTGTGTGTGTGTGTGTGTGTGTGTGTGTGTGTGTGTGTGTGTGTGTGTGTGTGTGTGTGTGTGTGTGTGTGTGTGTGTGTGTGTGTGTGTGTGTGTGTGGGTTCAGTGCAACAGCTGCAGGGATCAATGTCACGCAAGGGAAGCAAACAAGCAGACACCCACACAGGGTGCCAACACAGTGCGCCAACACAGTGCATCTTTTCTGCTGCTCACGACCGCCGTCGCGGACGCACGCACCAAGACAGATTGGAGGGCGATGCGGGTGGCGTCCAGATGCGAGATGCCACTGGCAGTCGGCGCTGCCATCGACGCGCTCGTGTCAACAACAAACACAACATGCATCGGTGGTGGTGGTGGTTTGTTGTTTGTGGAAGAATGGATTTCTTGCTTCTTCTTCTCTCTTCTCTTCCTTGCTTGGCTTGTTTGGTTTGCCGTTTGAGCTGTGTGACGTGTGATTGATCTTGATGATGTGACATGAAAGCATGAAGCAGGCCTTCGCCTTCCTCTCTCCGTCTCTTGCCTTCCTTCTCGCGCGCACTCTCCTTCCTGAGTTGAACATCGCCCCAAATACACTTGTCACCTGGTCAAAGTGATCACCAACGACATGGGCAGCAAGCACAAACAGACAAAAGGACAAACGACAACAAGACAACACAACAGAACACAGAGGAAGAGAGGAGGCTGTAATTAAGCAAAGTGGTGATCCTTCAATTCTCCAAACGACGGGCGCTCACGCGGGTTCTGCGCCATGCACTTGTACGTCAGCGACTGGAACCACTCGGGGATGGCTATCGGAAAGTGTGTGGTGGTGTGGTGTGTGTGTGTGTGTGTGTGTGTGTGTGTGTGTGTATGTAGGTATGTGTATGTGTGTGTGTGTGAGAGAGAGAAGAGGAGAAGGACGCGTGGTCAAGCAATCTAAACACACACACACACACACAACAAATCTCACCTTCTTGCTCGCTGTCTTCGAACTTGAGCCGCTTGCCCTCCATCAAGAGCTCTGTGATTGCAGGAAGCAGTGATCCCCTGAAGTCACTCCCCTTCTCCTGCTCGATCAGATCCGGTGGTCGCTGCGTCGCCACCTCCCACATCAGCACGCCAAAGCTGAAGATGTCGGCCTCGAAGCTGTACTTGTCGCCCGTCAATGCCTCTGGTGCCATGTACAGCGGCGTGCCCACGCCAGCCGTCAGCGTCATGCTCGTCATTGTCTGCAGCCCAGCTTGCTGGCTGTATTGCGGATCATCAACATCATGGCTGGAGGAGGAGAGGCGAGTGTGGCCGCTACCATGGGCTCTGCCACCTCCACCGCCACGCGTGAAGCACTGGCGAATGGATCCGAAATCCGTAATCTTGGCGCGAAGGGACGACGAAACCAGCACGTTGCCGCTCTTCAGGTCTCTGTTGAGGTGGTGTTGGTGGGTGGGATGAGGCTAGGATGGGCGATGAGCGAGAGCACGTGCCTGCATGCATGCAAACACACACAAACACGCACACACACACACATGCGCGCACACGCGCACACACACAAACACAAACACAAACACACACACACACAAACACAAACACAAATATCCCACTCACCGATGCATCTGATCGAGGCTGTGGATAAAGGCCATCCCACTGGCAATATCTCGTAGCAGACGCAGCTTCAACTCCCATATAGTCATCGTCTCTGCTCTTCGGTCACTTTCCGTGCTGATCAACGTCAATTCCTCATCCACATCCTCCGCGACCACACCTGCATCTGTGCAGCCAACAACATCCCGCTTCACTTCCATCAACACCTGTTCCATATCCTTCCCCAGCAGGTCCTTGAGTGACCCCATCGCCACAAACTCCAGCACCAGGAACGGGCTGCCGCTGGGATCTGTGCCCGCACCAAAGAACCGCACCACGTTGGGGTGCCGTGTCCGCTGCAAAAACTCCACCTCCTTCTCAAACTCAAGCACCGTGCTCTCGTCAAACATCATCACACTTTGCTGCAGTACTTTGACTGCCACCATCACCGTGTCCCACTCCGCCTTGAACACCACGCCAAACGCACCTGCAGCCACACGCTCAACAAGCCTCAGCTCACCAAACCCAATCTCCCACGCCTTCTTCAACGCTGTGACCTCCTCATCCATCTCCACCAGCAGCTGCTCCTGCAGGCCAATGCGCTTGGTGAGGCCCCGATAGCGGCGTGACAGCCACGCCACAAACAGGCCAAAGAACAGCCCACCAATCACAGAACCAGCAGCAACACCAGCAATATCATCACTGCGTTCAACGCAGCGCCCGTTAGACGTCAACTTGAAGCCGCGGGCGCACGTGCAGTGGAATGCGTACACGATTTGAGGCGTCAGCACAGAGCGATCAGTGTGTAATCTCAGGTTCTGGTTTGACAGCTCAAGCTCACATTCAATGGGCGCGTCAGTCAGCTGGAAAATCGGAGGAATTGGGCGATTGGCAATCTCACCAAAGTCAGCGCTCAAGAACATGTCATGTGACAAGACAATCTTCGTCTCCACAACGCGATTAATCTCTGCTTGATGACGAAGCCATGAGTTGCCTGAGAGATCCAGCACGTCCACTTGCTCAAGGCATTTGTGTGCAATTGCTGCAGCGCGGCGAATGTCGACGACTCCGCCCAAGTTGCGAGCGAAGAGAACACGTCGCCCCCACCGCGTGCACAGTGCACCCGTGAGCGGCAAGTTGGTGCTGCTGATGTCGAGGATGTCAATGGGAGGGGCATCAATGGAAGTAAGCTGGGTGCAGCCGGACACGTTGAGCTCACGCAGTGGGTCGTGAACGGTAATGGATTCAAGACGCCTGTTGTCCGTGAGAAGAAGCACGTCAAATGCCTTGTCAGGGCACAGGTCAATCCCGCTGTGATGCGTGTTGGCGATGCGGAGTTCTTGTACGGTGCTTGCAAGCATGCTGCAAAGGGCACTTATGGGGAGCGTGTCGCTGGTGGCGCCGGGCCAGCCCGCGTGCAGTGCACTTAGGTTAAGCGATGCCAATTGCCCAAGTGACGAAACGATGGCGCTGATGTCCACATTCTCCACGCTCAGCTTTGCCAAAGGTGCAATGCGATCCGCGCTGGAGTCTGACAATACTGCCTTGGACTCGGCCTCAGGGGCAGCGTCAAGTTCAAGCACTTCCAAGTGGGGCAGCGCCAGGAAAGCTGCCAGGTCGATGCGTCTTACCAGGTGGTGTTGCAATCGAAAAACCCTCAACTCAGGCAGCATGTCGAGGTTCGGCAGTTCTCGAACTGGATTGTCATTGAAGGCCAATTCACGCAGGGCAGGCAGAGCCCTGGGTAGATGTACACGCGTCAATTGATTGTCATGCACATCGAGGAAGCTCAGAGAGGAAAAGGACGCCGCTTCGATGACGGCATCAATGGATCGAAGAGCATTCGTCGCCAAAGATGCCTGGTTCAGCGCAGACGTGTTGGCGAACAGGCTGCTTGGAAGCGCAGTCAGACGGTTGTCGTTGCAGAAGAAAGTACGCAGGCGCGTGTTGGACTGAAGGAGGCCACGTGGCAATGAACGCAGCTCGTTCTTGTCAATGAACAGGGCTGTTAGCACCGTCAAGTCTTGGAACACGTCTGATGCTAGCGACGTTAGTCGGTTGTTGAAGACTTGCAGGTGTTCCAGGGACGAGAGACCGGCGAACACGGTCTCGGGAAGGGATGTGAGGAAGTTGTTTGCCAAGCCAAGGACAGTTAAGCGAGTGGTGTTTCGAAATACAGTTGGCGGCAAACTCGTGAGCAGTGTGCTTTCGAGGATGAGGTTGTCAAGCGTCGAAAGTGCAGCGAACACATCGGCGTCCAGCTGTCGGATGGGATTGCGCTGCAGCTCAAGTCGCGTGAGGGCTGTGAGTGGGTGAAACAGGCCTGGGGGGATGGCGCTAATGTCATTTGAGAAGATGGTCAGCCTTCGCAGTGCTGTCAGGTCACCGAACGACACTGCTTGGACTCGAGCAATGAGGTTAGTGTCCAATGACAGCTCTCGCAGCGATGACAACCCGTTCAAGTGTTCCGCAGTGACTTGACGGATACGGTTGTCGCGCAAGCTCAGGGTCCTCAGTGACGTCATGCCAGCAACATCAGGGACGAATGAAAGGGAGCAGTTGATGATGCGGAGTGCGGTGAGGGTCTTCGCGTGGTTGAACCCGCTTGAATCTACTCCCCGCAGAACATCGCTGTGGCGAATTCGGATACTGCGAATATCGCTGAGTGGGTTGAGGTCGCTCAACGGGAATGTAGGAAACTGCGCGCCCTCGACAGTTAGAAAGCGACAAGTTGTCCACACGCCGTTTTGAAGCAGCCATTGGAGCAGGGGCTGCTGGACATGGCCATTTAGTGTGAGTCGAAACACAGCGGGAGAAAGCGTGCGAAGCGTGCTTGTATCAGCACTTCCGTTCACAAGGTCATCCTTGAACAGTGTGATGGTGAGTCCACCCCGCCTTGTGCCTGGACAAGAGCCATCAATGAGACTTGCCAGCGTGCACTGGCCTTGCTGCACGTTTGGGTCACTGTTTCGTCGCATGCGAGAGAACCGCCTGGGAAGGGAGCTAGGTGCGGTGTTGTTGTCACTCAAGATATTGGGTTGAGGGTTGTGTCGTCTTGTGCCTGGGAAGTTTGTGGGTCTTTGAAGTTTGCGTGCAGCCTTCTTTGGGCACCCAAAAGCGCGCATCATGCGTTGGATCGAGGACAGGTCAACTGTCAACCGTGGGCCCACATGGGTGTGGTTGACAGCAGCGCCGTTCTCAGTGTGAAGATGTACATCATCATGGGACTGCTTGTGAATGCCCGCGGTGGTGCTGAAGGGCACGCTGTGCTTAACCAGTGTAGTTTTGACGCGTTTCAGAGTGGTCTCCACCTCATCGCACAACACGGCAGCCTGCAGCATCGTGTAGGCGTGTACGTGTGTGCAGTGCGTGATTGTGTGTGCAGTGCGTGATTGTGTGTGTGTGAGGGTGTGATTGTGTGTGCAGTGCGTGATTGTGTGTGTGTGTGTGTGTGTGTGTGTGTGAGGGTGTGAGTGTGTGTGAGGGTAGGAGGGTGTGTGTGTCTGCAGGAGTGTGTGCGTCACTGACAGCTTTGCATGCAGATGCACGCTACAGCACGCTGGAATAATAGAATAGAATAATGGCTCAACAAGTTGAACAGGAAACGAAACGCACCAAAACACAGCAGACAAGCACACAAACAAACAAACACAAGTCTAAGTGCAACCAAGTAACATAACCACCACTACACCACAAGACAACTACTCGCTTCAAGACTGCACTCGACCTCTTCGCCGACGTCGAGTGCCAAGGTGCTGTCGAGGATCCCTGACGCTGACGCCACCAAAACGATCAAGGCCAGAGAGAAGACGGTCATGGCAACAGCAGTCGTATGAGGTTGTCGTCACGTCGTCACTTTGTTGTTGACTTGTTGAGGCCCACCGGGTTCCTCGACTGGTGTCAGGTCACTCAAGAAGTGTGTGTAGGTGCTCGGTGTCTAGGTGTGTGCTGTGTGTGCGTGTGCGTGTGCGCGCGTGTGTGTGTATCTTCTTCAACAGAGAACAGAGAAAGCGTTTGTTTGTTTTTCCCTTCCAGACAGACAGAAATTTGGTTGCCCCAAGAAGCCGCCAAGAAGAAAGTTTGCGGATAAAACGCCCTTGCGACATCAAAAGTCGCTGCTGCCACTGCCGCTGACATCAGACAATCATTGATGATGAGAAGCAGCAGATTCTCCTCAGATTCGTGCACCCACGAACGCAAGGCCCAGGCCGCACACACACAACAAAGCTGTGTTCTGTTTTCAAACGACGCATTGGCAACAGCGTTGTAAACACATCATGGTTTAGGTGGCCGTTGTGGGGCAGCCCCACAACACAACGCTGCCCACAACGCCATTCTCTCCTCTCTCTCCCCCCCCCATCTCTCCCACGCTCATACAGCTTTCCCACCAGCTCTCTCTTTGGTTCGAACCTAACCAATCAAATCAATCCCCACCCTTACCCACCGCACGCCCCCACCTCAAGTTAAGCACATCCAACCAAGAAAGAAGAGCAGCAATATTGCACCTGCTTGCGTGCATGGCCGACGGCATCATCACAGCTGATTGGCAACACTATGTTGATCATGCATGCGAACAACAACGTCAACCGTCGTTCAGATGTTACAGCAGCGCGTGGCCTACGCGTGCACACCGCGTGCGTGCGTGCGTGCGTGTGTGTGTGTGTGTGTGTGTGTGTGTGTGTGTGTGTGTGTGTGTTCATGTCCACTGTGTTTCGCCCGTCACACCTGCTCCCCCCTTCCAGGTTGTTCTTCGGTCAGTCGTTTCTTGTCTGCCTATCCCTTTGTTTGTGTCTGCGTGCGTGCGTGCGTGTTTGTTTCTCGTGACCTGACTGACTGGATCGTGGGCGCACCTTGCACCACAATCTGCCACAAAACGTCAGTCTCCACATCAGCGCCACCAGCAGGCACGCTGGCCTGTTTGTTTTGCACTTGCGAAAGTGTGCGTGCACATGTTGCGCGCGCAATTCTGCGATTGACAAGGGTTGCCACTCATTCTTCCCCTGTCTATGTGACCAACCTCACACACACACACACACACACACACACACACACACACACACACACACACACACACACACACACACACACACACACACACACACACACACACACCCGTACGCACATTGTTTCTTGTGCTTATTCTCTTCTGCGACCAGGGATACATCTGACAGTTGGCTGCAGCATCAACCTGTGACAACGGACACAAGGGGGCGAGCGACACAAGAAGACTGGGTGCCCAAAACAACTCGACGCAGCACGCACCCGCACGCGCAAGTGCAGGGTACAGCAACATAGCCAACCGCTGCACCGTTCCGCCGCCAGACCCTGTGGCGCAATGGCGCAGCACGGCGATGTGCGCCTCTTGACAGACCTGCTCACGGGCAGCCCATCAACGCTATCAGCGGCCGTCACGGCACCGCCCGATGGCGATCCCATGACTAGCGTGGGCGCTCATATCGGCGTCGGTGGTGGTGGCGGCGGTGGTGGCGGCGATGATGTGATGAAGCCGAAGCCCATATGGCCGACTGCAAAGAGGGAAGACAGCACGCAGCAGCACGTGAAGGGTATCAATGGAGGGGGAAGTGGCGAGGCGTCAACGGGATTCTTGCGTGATAACGCCGCCAGAAACAGCAACGCAGGCACCAGAGGGACAATATGGAGCAGCCTTGGCCATGGTGGCGTCGCCCGCGCTGTCACAGCATATCCACCGCTACAGAAGCGGGGATCTGCCCCGTCTTCTCTCTCGTCCACAGAAACAGCGACAGCGACAGCGGTCATGGTCGACGGGGGTGGTGCAGCAGACAAGGAGGATGCACATCGCATCACACAGAATGTTGATGATGGCGGTGATGATGGTGATGGTGGTTGTGGTACTGAGCGGTACGGTGCGCACCACGGCTTCGACGGCTGCTCTCTCGTGGATGCTTTGGACCCAATTGCCACACGCGCCTTTCCCATTGTGTGAGTGTCTATGTGTGTGTGTGTGTGTGTGTG